ACCCATACTGCACCAGTGACTACCCATACTGCACCAGTGACTACCCATACTGCACCAGTGACTATTCATACTGCACCAGTGACTACCCATACTGTCCCAGTTACTGCTCACTGTACCAATGACTACCCATACTGCACCAGTGACTATTCATACTGCATCAGTGACTACCCATACTGCACCAGCGACCACCCATACTGCACCAATGACTACCCATAGAACCCCAGTGAGGGATTTTGTATTTCCAGCCCTGAGCCTTCTCCTGGATACTTCCTGGGTACACAACAGCCCGTGATGCTGCTGCACGTAAGGCTCAACCTGCCCCAGGTGGGGCTGCTCGGCTCTCCCCTGCCCCCAAATCTTTGCTTCCCTAGGACCTCCAACCCACCCTCAACACATCCAAAGCCCACCTCCTGATGCCTTCCACATCCCACCGGCTCACTTTGTCCCACCTCAAAACCAAAAAAAGCAAACTCATTGCTGTTGAGTCTATTCCAACTCATAGGGACCCAATGTGACAGAGTAGAACTGCTCCATAGGGTTTTCTTGGCTGTACTCTTTATGGAAGCAGATCACCAGGCCTTTCTTTCGTGGTGCTACTGGATGGATTTGAAGTGCCAATTTTTAGATTAGTAGTCAAGTGCAAATTGTTTGCACCACCCAGGGACCTCTTTTCCCACCTCAGTTGATGATGATCCTATTCATCCAGTGAAAGGACAAGGCAGTGGGCTGTTTTGCAGGGGGTACAGAGGGCTTGCAGGATTCTCAAATGCGACATGCCATATTTGGGACCAACCCCATCTGACTTTCAGCACAGGGACCTTTCAGCCTTGAATTTCAAGCTGGACACCTGCTTCTAGGAAATGCCAAGTGTAAAGTGTTATGGATTGAATTGTGTCCCTCCCAAATATGTGTTGTAAATCTTACCCCTTATAATACCTGTGGTTGTAATCCCGTTGGGAATGGGTTTTCTTTGTTATGTTAATGAGGCAGTATTCGTGTAGGGCATTTCTTAAATCGATCTCTTTTGAGATATAAAAGAACAGATTAAGCAAGCAAGCACAAACAGAGGGGAAGATACATGCCACATGATGGCCAAGGAACCCAGGAATAGAAGCTTTAAAGAGACAAGGGCGTTCCCCCAGTGTAGACAGAGAAAGAGCCTCCCCCTAGATCCGGCACCCTGAATTCAGACTTCTAGCTTCCTTTTTTATTTTTTCCCATACAAAAATTTATACATACATTGTTATGTGACCCTAACTGCTCTCCCCATACTGTGACAGCACACTCCTCCTTTCCACCCCTGATTCCCCATGTCCATTCAACCAGCTCCTAACCCTCTCTGCCTTCCCATCTCACCTCCGGACAGAAGCTGCCCGTTCAGTCTCTTGTATCTACTTGAGCTAAGATGCACACTCCTCACGAGTATCACTCTATGTCCCACAGTCCAGTCCAATCTCTGTCTGAAGAGCTGGCCTCAGAAATTGTTTTAGTTCTGGGCCTATAGAGAATCCAGGGACCATGCTTTCCAGAGATCTTCTAGTCTCAGTCAGACCATTAAGTCTGGTCTTCTTACTAGAATTTGAGTTCTGCACCTCACCTTTCTCCTGCTCCATCAGGGACTCTCTGTTGTGTTCCCTGTCAGGGCGGTCATTGGTGGCAGCCAGGCACCATCTAGTTCTTCTGGTCTCAGGCTGATGAAGTCTCTAGTTTATGTGGCCCTTTCTGTCTCTTGGGCCACTCACCAAAGTAGGATGCAGAACATTTCCTCAATAAGTTTTGTTATGCCAATTGACCTAGATGTTCCCTGAAAGCATGGTCCTAGCTTCTTGTTATGGATTGAATTGTGTCCCCCCAAAATGTGCATCAACTTGGCTAGGTCATGATTCCCGGTATTGTGTGATTGTCCACCATTTTGTCATCTGATGTGATTTTCATATGTGTTGTAAATCCTACCTCTGTGATGCAGGATTAGAGGCAGTTATGTTAATGAGGGAAGACTCAATCTACAAGATTAGGTTGTGTCTTAAATCAATCTCTTTTGAGATATGAAAGAGAGAAGTGAGCAGAGGGATGTGGGGACCTCATACAACCAAGAAAGAAGCACCAGGGGCATAGTGCACACATCCTTTGGACCCGAGGTCCTTGCACTGAGAAGCTCCTAGACCAGGGAAGATTGATGAGAAGGACCTTCCCCCAGAGTTGACAGAGAGAGCAAGCCTTACCCTGGAGCTGGCACCCTGAATTCAGACTTGTAGCCTCCCAGACTGTGAGAGAATAAATTTCTCTTTGTTAAAGCCATCCACTTGTGGTATTTTTGTTACAGCAGCACTAGATGCCTAAGATACCTCCTAAACTGTGAGAGCGAAGAATATTGAATACGCCATGGACTGCCAGAAGAACAAACAAATCTGTCTTGCAAGAAGTACAACCAGAATGCTCATTAGGAGCAAGGATGGTGAGACTTCGTCTCACATACTTTGGACATGTTATCAGGAGGGACCAATCCCTGGAGAAGGACATCATGCTTGGTAAAGTAGAGGGTCAGCAAAAAAGAGGAAAACCCTCAAGGAGATGGCTTGACACAGTGGCTGCAACAATGGACTCAAGCATAACAATGATTGTGAGGATAGCACAGGACAGGGCAGTGTTTTGTTCTGTTGTACGTAGGGTCGCTATGAGTCAGACCCAACTCGACGGCACCTAACAACAACAACAAACTGTGAGAAAATAAGTTTCTGTTCATTAAAGCCACTCCCTTGCGGTATGTCTGTTATAGCAGCAATAAATAACTAAGACAAGGAGCTTTGGTGGAGAAGAGCAAAATGATCACAGAACTATGGGATTAGGGTCATTGTCCTGTTTTACAAATGACACAACCGAAGGACTCAAAATCTGTAAAATGGGCTGATTATAATTCTTACCTCACTGGGCTGTGGGACGATATTAGCAGGTGCCTGCGCACAGTAAGCATACAATCTATTTAACAATTCTTTGTTGCCATTAAGTCAACTCCAACTCTTGGCGACCGTATGTGCAACAGAGTGAAATATTGCCCAGTCCGGCATCGTACTCACAATCCTCAATGTGTTCGAGTCCATCTTTGCAGCTACTGTGCCAATCCATCTTACTGAGTGTCTCCCACACTCTCACACGCCCTCACTGGCCCACTTCATCAAATATAACGTCCTCCTCTAGCAATCGATTCCCTCCTGATGACGTGTGCAAAGCAAGAAAGTTGAACAGTGCTCTGTTGTGATCTGTAAGATTTTCATTGGCTAATTTTCAGAAGTAGATTGCCAGGCCTTTCTTCCTAGTCTGTCTTAGTCTGGAAACTCTGCTGACACGTGTCCACCATGGTTGACCCTGCTGGTATTTGAAATACTGGTGGCGTAGCTTCTAACAACATAACAATATGCAAGCCACCACAGTATGACAAACTGACAGACAGGTGGTGGATTTAACTATTATATCTCTACTGTTGATATCATTGTTATTTTATTTTGCCTTTATTTTCTCCAAGAATGCCTAAGTCATTGAATTAATTAGGACTGAAAGCCCATAGATGAGTGAGTCTGGCAGGGTTGTGTTTGAATCCTGACTCTGGCACTGGTAAACTGTGGGATTTTCTGAACCTCAGTTTCCTCCTCTGTAAAATGAAAGAAAATAGCATCTCCTCGCAGGGCCGCTGTGATGATTAATTTTTGCCTTCCAGACAGAACATCTAGAAAGGAACTCAGTAAAGACACGGAAGAGCTAAATGCCACAATCAACTTGACCTCATAGACATATACAGAACACTTCACCCAACAGCAGCCAAGTATACATTCTTCTCCAACGCACATGGAACAGTCTCCAGAATAGACACATTTTAGGCCACAAAGCAAGCCTTAGCAGAATCCAAAACATTGAAATACTACAAAGCATCTTTTCTGACCATAAAGCCATAAAAGTAGAAATCAACAACAGAAACAGCAAGGTAAAAAAAAATTCAGATACATGGAAACTGAACAACACCTTGCTCAAAAACTACTGGATTATAGAAGAAATCAAAGATGGAATAAAGAAATTCATAGAATCAAATGAGAATGAAAACACATCTTGCCAGAACCTTTGGGACACAGCAAAAGTAATGCTTAGAGGTCAATTTATAGCAATAAATGCACATATCGAAAAAGAAGAAAGGGCCAAAATCAAAACATTAACCCTAATGACTCAGAAAGAGAGCAGAAAAAGGAGCCCTCAGGCACCAGAAGAAGGGAAATAATAAAGATTAGAGCAGAAATAAATGAAATAGAGAATAGAAAAACAATTGAAAGAGATAACAAGACCAAAAATTCGTTCTTTGAAAAGATCAACAAAATCGATACACCACTGGCCAAACTCACAAAAGTAAAATAGGAGAGGAAGAAAATAACCTGAATAAGAAATGAGATGGGCAATATCACAATAGACCCCACTGAAGTAAAAAGGATCATAACATAATACTATGAAAAATTGTACTCAAATAAATTTGAAAACTTAGAGGAAATGCACAAATTTCTAGAAACACACTACCTACCTAAACTAACACAAACCGAGGTAGAAAAACTAAATAAACCCATAACAAAAGAAGAGATTGAAGAGGTAATAAAAAAAACTCCCAACAAATAAAAGCCTTAGCCCTGACAGCTTCACTGGAGAATTTTACCAAACTTTCAGAGAAGAATTAACACCAGTACTACTAAAAGTATTTCAGAG